CTTCGCCGGGCGGTTCTGATGGTGTGTGCGTGTGGGGGAAGAGGGGGAGGGATCCCCTCGGGGCTGATGCGGCGCAGGGTGGGGAGTGGATGCTTCCTCTCCGGGAGAGGATTTGCCGCCGCCGCTCTTATTTGTTCGTCCCTTTCGCTGCGGGCTCTGTGGAGAATAGACAGGGGAGAAGAGGTTCACGTGCTGGTAAACTCCAGAGACCCGAAGAGGGAGGAAGTAGCCGGCTTGTGGCGGTGATTAGTCACCCCCTGAGGAAGAAAAACGCCGGTATTGATCTTCAGCCAAACGGCCGAGAGATTTAAGCGCTTGGCTATTGTGTTGGAAGGATGGGGTTGAGCAGGGCAAACGTCCAAAGCGAAAAAAATGAGTGGAGGGTTATCCTCAGGACTTGCTGCTGGGCTCCCTCCGAGAGCCTGCTCCCCCGCCCGCCTTCCCACCCACCCGCTTTCGCAGTTGTTAACAGGGGCGGGTGAGGGAGAACTAGGGAAGAGGTGGGGGAAGGGGGCGGTGGGGGGGGCGGTTAAGATTCCGCCCGTCCGCCTTTGGAGTTGGAGGAGAATCGTTTTCAGCTCTTCTCTGCAGCAGTCGTGGAGGAGATACGCATTCCTTACACCTAAGATATGAGTGAAAAAGCCCCGTCCTGGTTTCACACAGATGTAGGACTGCTTTCAGAAAAGCGATTCTTACCGTTTCTGGGCAAATACTGCAGCTATTCCGCCTTTTCCACCTTAATATAAGAAGAAATCTAGAATGGCTACAAACGGAATATGGCAATAACAGCATTCCCCTCCCCTCCCCCCCCCCCGGTACATGTTGCGGATAAGGCAAGTTTGCAATAAATGCCTCATCTGGAAGTAATCTAAATAAACATAAATTATTTCTGTGTTCATTGGGACGCACTTTGCCTGCATTTAAGAGTTTATTTGGCTTAATTGCCGTTGGCAAAACAGCACATCCTGTTTCAAAACTGAACAGCACAGGGGAGGATATTGCCTCCTCAAAGTGACAGAAAAGTTCTTCCATGTGCACTAACAGTACTCTAAGCAAGGTTAATCAATGGTGATTATGAGCATGCCTGGGCAACAGAAACAGACATCCAAATAGACTTACTCTGATTGAAAAACTTGCTTTGCAACATTGTGTGTGTGTGTGTGTGTGAGAGAGAGAGAGAGAGAGAGAAATAATTTAATTCTCTTACTTTCCAGTCTTCTGATTAAATAGCCCTCCACCCTGGACTAAAGTCTCTGGAAGATAATCAAAAACAGTGAGCTGGGATTTGGCTTTATCTCCCAAAGAAACCTTTTGCAAACTTTTAAGCAACTTTCCAGAGGAGGATCTAGGGAACATATCTGTGAAGTTTCAGCCACTGTATGAATGAATATATATACATTTAGGCAAAAATTAATAAGCAACATGCAGTGCTAATTGTAATCAAAATGATGAGAAACTCTGGACCACGGTAAAAATAATAAAATCTATTTTTAAAGTACTGTAAGGTGCAGCCTGACATTTAAATAACTGCAGGATAATTCAATTAACTGCCTGATGTCTAATGAACAAGGTAGACTGGTTTTCATTTCTGTCTTCCAAAAGATAAAGTCAAGGCCCAGTATATCTTAGAAACTGTACTGACTGTAGTTTTAATATATTTACTTGAGTGCATACTTTGCTCAAATAGGCAAAGCTACTTTGTCTTTAGATTAAATTAGCTTCAATAAACCTCAGTATCTCTTTATCCATAAACCCATAGCTTTATAGCTTCAGGGACTGATGCTCCAAAACCAGAGACTTCCTTCTTAAGTCAGGATACAGTCAAGGTCCAAGCATCACGCTGAGAGTGCTTCAGAAAGCACCTTTCTGAAGAAGTAATCAAATCCCTCCTCTTCCTTCTCCTTTTGTATGGCCTCTAGTCACAGGACACAAAGTCAGTTGAGTCTGGCACTACTCCCAGGAACCTGGTTTAAGTTGCTCCATGAAATCTTGACTGGTATTCCACTTATTTTTGCAGGTGCTGGCTCACCTTTTTATATTTTCTGTTTTTGTTTTTAATTTAGAGAAGAAAAATAAAATCCTAGGATGGTTATTGAAAGCAGCACCATCTCAACAGTGGCTGTTTTTATAGAGAGGTTCTAAATTCCCCTTCTTGTGCTGAAGGTCTGGGTTCAGGAGACATGGAAACCCTTGGGAGATGAATGAACTAACAGCTACTTTGGTGGGTATGGGATCTCTATATTAACATAAACATGACTAGGTTATCAAGTAAAAAAAAGGGTGTTTAAGTACACATAGCATCAACAGAGCCTGATATGGGATACCAAGCAGGGTCTTGGCAGTCTTCCCCTGTGGAGAGTGGGTTCAAATCACATAGTCTTCTACTTGTGGTTCAGTGTAATAGATGGTAGAAACACGTGCAAAAGGATTAGATTGGAATCCCATGGACATTTACTTGATAGCAAGCCCCAGTGAAAACTGTAAGGATATTTAAAACTAGTATTTATCAGAATTCTGCAAACATGCAATATAAGAGACTAAAATTCATTTTAAAAATTAATATAATATGATCCTAAGCCTATTTACTGGACTACTGAGTTGAGAGGTAATTATACTACAATACATTTGCTTGGCATCTGCAGTCCTAAAAAATTAAATTTCATTCACTGGCTCTTATTCCCTTGTAATTGTGCTTAAACTTCGGTTTGAGGCACTCTTTCATGAGAGTTAGCACCCCTGAATCAATGTCACATTATTCTCCATGAATATGCATAGGCTTGGACTGCAAATGAAGCCTCATAGGCAATGGGTTTATAGAACTTTAGCAATTTGAATTTTGCAGGAGGACAAAGGTGATTTGGGAATATTTACTTATAAAAAGTAAAGCCACACTGGAAAATTCAATTGCTGAGTTCAATATTTTCCACTGCCATTATAAAATCAAATTCTGGATGGTCTCTTTCCTTGTTTTCATTAATAGAAAGGAATATGCTGTATATCTATCACTAACTGGAAGAGAGATTGTTGTAAGTAATAACATGTTTTGATGACAATATTTTCTTCAGGTTGGCTTTTTCAGGGAAATAACTGTAACGTGTGCAGAATTGCAGCCCAAAGCATTAAATCTCTTCAGAACAGTCCCTGTACAGTTTTGTGCAGGCACTATCTAGGCCAAATCCATCTTTTTGGTACCCAGAGAGGACACACTAACCCCTGAGGGCTCAGATGCAGCAAAGATATTAGAGTGATATAATGCAAACTGAAATCTATGTGAAATCAAAGTGACAAATAGCCACACACCAAACATCTAAATGAGGAAACATCTGTGCAGTGGAGAGATAATTAGAGTTAGCTGTTCTGTAGAGAAATAGAAGACTTGTTATGTGATTAATGAACGAACATAGGAGGGATGAAGCAAATATAAATAGTTCAATACATCCCAATCAGATGATCTCTGTCCTGAAATTATAGTGGCCCATTTTGTGCTGAGGCAGTTTATCTAAAGGCCGATAGCAGAAATAGCATCTCGTTCAAAATAGGAGAGCATCCTGTGGTTTCCTCCGTTTGTTCTGTGTGTGTCTGCATCTGTGCCTCTCTCTGTCCATGTGTTGATTCTGTTTTGCAAATAACCCATGGTTGAATTCAGCATATGAATTAAGGATGCAATCAACAAAGCTCAAATCTCTGTTGTGCTGACAAAAGCAAGGGCAAAATTTGAAACCATCCATGCATGGTGTTATTGCAGTACAACAGAAAGAATAAAACAGGAAAGAGGGAGACCAAAAGTGCCAAGGAAAAGTTTGAGAAAAATGAACTGATGGAGTGGGTGGCTGATCTTTCTCTTGCACTTTAGCACAGTGTCCAGACACATCAGCCAGTTCTACACGGTCATGGGGTTTGTTTGATTTTTGTTCAATGTTACTGCTATGGCTGATAAATTATGCTTGTGGTTTTCTGCATCATGCAAACTCAGCCAAATCTGGTTTATACCCTAACTGTAACTCTAATTCTATCTAAGTTCCTTTTCCATTTCATGCCGCTGTTAAAGCAGAACTAGTAAAAAGCATCAGTAGTATTTGGCTGCTGCTTTTTTCAAAGCATACATTCCATAATTTGATTGAACACTCTAAAGACCAGGTGCAAAAAGTGTGTCTTGAGGGGGCACAGGAGGGCCACTAAC